TAGGTGACTTATGAGTCGACTTAAAAGCCACCTCGTGGCAGTCACAGCAGTCTGCTACGGTTTCGACTGTATAGGGCTGATGGGATGCGACGGATGGGATGGGATGATTTTTGAGGCGCCTCAAAAATAGGGCGTGGGATGTGACGGATAGGGATGGGATGAGATGGGTGGCATGGGATGGCATTGCATGGCATCTAATGGTGTGTCATAGGATCGCTGCCCTCCATGATCCCCGTGCATGATGAGATGCCATGATGGCACACTCACTGGCACATCAGGGCAGGTACTGTTTTGACATGCGAGCGCACACACACACACACACGTGATAGAATTTGTATTTTGAGACGTCTCAAAATACAATATTTATCACGTGCATGATGAGATGCCATGATGGCACGCACACTGGCACATCAGGGCAGGTGTTGTTTTGATATGCGCGCGCACACACACACATGGGCGTCGAAACGGGTTATGCTAATCACTTGTTGATCACAACCTTGCAAGGTTCGTTGCCTTTCATACCCACTTGTTGATGACGGCCGTGCAAGGCTCGTTGCCTTTCATACCCACTTGTTGATGACGGCCGTGCAAGGCTCGTTGCCTTTCATACCCACTTATTGATGACGGCCGTGCAAGGCTCGTTGCCTTTCATACCCACTTGTTGATGACGGCCGTGCAAGGCTCATTGCCTTTCATACCCACTTGTTGATGACGGCCGTGCAAGGCTCGTTGCCTTTCATACCCACTTGTTGATGACGGCCGTGCAAGGCTCGTTGCCTTTCATACCCACTTATTGATGACGGCCGTGCAAGGCTCGTTGCCTTTCATACCCACTTGTTGATGACGGCCGTGCAAGGCTCGTTGCCTTTCATACCCACTTGTTGATGACGGCCGTGCAAGGCTCGTTGCCTTTCATACCCACTTGTTGATGACGGCCGTGCAAGGCTCGTTGCTCTCCATGACTCCCTTGCAGATGGTAGCGGCATTGCATGGTATGGTATGGCATGATATGATATCGCATGGCATGGTATGGTATGGCATGGCATGGTATGATATTACTCACTTGTTGATGACGGCCGTGCAAGGCTCGTTGCTCTCCATGACTCCCTTACAGATGCCGAAGTCCCTTGCAGTGCCAACTGGCAGGATTTGATTGGCTCGGAACACGCGGAGCGACGGCGGGAGATTCTGCCATGGCAACACGTGGATCGGAGTGTGCGGGGAGTGTGTAAACGAGTGCTGATGTGTGTGCGAGTGCGTGAGTGTTGGTGGAGTGTGTGTGGGCAATACCCAAGATCTTTTGCGACGCCAGGAAAAACGTCACCCTGGGAGGAACAGGCACCTCCCCCACTCCTCCCAGCCTGGTAGACACCCTCTGTAGGTCCCTTGACTCACTCACCCCTTGGAGGATTGGCTTCTGCTCCTAGTACTGCCACGCTGCCACCGCCCCCATCTCCTGCTCGCAGAACACATCAAACGCCGCCCCGAACAGCAACACAAGGGTGCATTGACTCACTCACCCCTTTCGGTGGGTTGGCTTCTGCTCCTAGTACTGCCACCACCGCCCCCATCTCCTGCTCGCAGTACACATCAAATGCCGCCCCGAACAAAAACACAGTCACCTCCTCCACCCCTCCCAACCAACAACGGCCTCTGTAGGTCCCTTCACCCCTTGACTCACCCCTTTTGGCGGGTTGGCTTCGGCTCCTAGTATTGCTACCACCGCCCCCATCTCCTGCTTGCAGTACACATCAAACGCTGCCCCAAACAAGAACACAGTCACCTCCTCCACTCCCCCCACTCCCCCTCCTCCTCCTTTCCTTCCTGCTCCCCCTCCTCCTCCTCTGCTCCCCCCCAGAGGACCACAGAGAGAAGAGAGTTTCCAAGACATGAATGGACGGGAAGAGGAGGATGGTTTGGTGGTGGCTGTGGCTTTAGTGGTGGCAGTGGCAGTAGCTTTAGCCGTGGCCGAGGATTTGGCAGGGGCAGTGGCCTTGGCAGTGGCAGTGGTTTTAACAGATGAGCATCCGGATATGACGGCAATAGTCGCCCACGCCCCTTCCAGCTGGCTCCTTCCGCCAATCAGAGCGGAACTGGAGCAGAGCAGCGGGAATGAGAAGGTGAGCAAGGGAGAGTAGGAGGCTGTGAAATGCAAGGAGTGATTCGAAATCGTGAAACGCATGCAAAGAATAATGCAAACGCAGAAAGCGCATGCACATACGAGGCGAAAAAAGTGAATGTCAGCCAGAGGATGGGACACATCATGGTACGTGGAACAAAGATTTGGTGTCTCAGCAACGGCTAGAGAACACATGGTCGTACGAGATGGCTTCGAGGCGAAGGAAGCGGATGTCGTCCAGTTTCTGCCTCAATTGCGGTGCCGAGATGAAACGGTTCCTGTTGGGAGATGAAACGGATAACAGTCACCAAAGAGCCATGCATGTAAGAAACGTCTATAGACCCTTTCACACTACGATCCCCACTCCGTAAACTGTTGAAATATGTTGAAGTGTTTTTTTCGTATATCGCTCATTCGCAGAAATGAGATTCTCAATCCTTTCAAGCCTTCTGCATCACCGCAGGCGAATGCCCCGGGAGCTTATCCACGCCCCCCAGGGCCCTCTCCTTGGCTGTACTCTCTACCATAGACGCAGACTGATTTGAGACGTCTCAAAAAGTCATGAGACGTTTGACTCACCTCAGGCGAATACCCGAATGCTCCTCCACATCCCCCACATTCCTCTCCTTGCCTCTCCTCGCTGCACACTCAACCAGAGTCACAGTTGTCGCAGCCCTCCCCACTGATTGCCCGCCGCCGGAAACCCCTCCGGGAGAAAATTCTGAGCCTGTTGCCAACCCCCCTCCGCCTGTCATTCCTACTTCTGTCACTCCTGCTGCTGCTGCTACTGTTGCTGCCGTTGCTGTTGCTGTTGCTGCCGTTCCTGTTGCTGTTGCTGTTGCTGTTGTTCCTGTTGCTGTTGCTGTTCCTGTTCCTGTTGCTGTTGCAGCTGCTGTTGTTGCTGTTGCTGCTGCTGTGGCTGGTGCTACCCCGACAACAGGGTCTGATCTCATTCCAGAATAGGCAGCAGATTTTCTTGCTGCAGCTGCTGCTGTTGCTGCTCCCTCTGCAGTGGTTGCTCCTGCTGTTGCTGCTGCTGTCGCTGGTGCTACCCCGACAACAGGGTCTGATCCTGCTGGTGCTGCTCCCTCTGCTGTGGCTGCTGCAGCTGCATTTCCTGCCATGGTTGGTGTTGCTGCAGTTGCTGCTGGTGGTGCTGTGGTTGGTATTGCTGCCCGTGGTGCTGCCGCTGCTGCTGTGGCTGTCGAGGCCTCTTCCGCTGGTGCACCTGCCGGACGTTCCGTTCGCTCAGACGCGACAGCTGAAGCAACGATTGGAGCAACGGCTCGAGCGACGGTCGAAGGGAAGGCGAGGCTGCTAGGGAAGACTGAACATGACTTATCCGTAGTACTCGGAACTAATCGGTTACCCGAATTGTTGCCACTAATGAACTGAAATCCCACGCCTGATCCAATGTCTCCCCTGGCGCCGTTCAAGACCTTGCGTCCTGAACCCCCCACTGAAACCCCCACTGATCCTCCCGCGTTACTAGCGAACGCGTTATTTCCCAAGCTAGCAGATTTCTGGCGACTGGAAAAACTGAAAGCCTGACTGCTATCCATGCCACGGCCATTGCTGCTAGTGCCGCTGCTCTTTCTCTCATCCAAACCGCCTGTCCCAGCTCCACCTAGAAAAGGGGTTGCGCCTCTGGGGTTTGGAGCCATGGAACCGAATCGTGCAGCTTCAAACTTAGACTTGATCGCTGGAGCTTGAAACTTAGACTTCGTCGCTGGAGGAGCAAAAACGCGAGCTCCTTTGTTCGGAGGGGCTCTTTTGTTGGTTGGAGCGCCTCTGCTGAAAGGAGCAGCAGGAGCTGCTCTTTTCGTGTGAGACCCTCTGGTCGGTGGAGGAACGGAAGCGAATCGAGCAGAGGCCGTCTGCAATGACGACGACGGCGCGAAAGCAGGTGCGTTTGACGCAAAAGCAGCGCTTCCGTTGCTGACGGCATTCGACGAGACGTTTTCAGCGACGAAGCATCTGAAAGCGGACATGTCCGCCGGCCCTGACGGCTGTAAGAGCTCGTCCTCGCTGTCGTATCCACCCGAATTATCTCCGCCGTTAGATGCGGGACAATCGTGATCCGGAACATCACTGTCGCCAATTTCGAAATCTGAGTCCAGGCCATGATGTGCGCTTGGCGATGATCCTATCTGGAAGGTAAGCGGGGTATGATAAGTCATAACGCTTCGTCGAGAGGCCCTTTTTCTAAACCAAAGTTGATAATATCGAGGAGTTAGTTCTCTAGCCAAAGGTTAATCGGCAACCGGAATATAAATCACGAACAGGACGATTTCTAGTGGTCGATTTCCAACTAGGAACGGTAAAACCAGCCTGGCCGAAACTATCAGCCCTGATAGACACAGTCAAAGGCCAAATGCTTTCACCTAGGAGAACCTGGGTTCCTCCGAGTTCCCACAACATTGGAACAAGCAAATTCAAATTTGAAATGCCGTAATTTGGGCGACTTTGGCAGGATGCATGGCAACCGTGTTATCGCCCCACCCCTCCTCCACTCCTGATCTTGTCCGTCTAATCACCAGCCCTTTCTACTCTGGAGTTGCGTCACCATGAAGCCAACTCGGCCAATTTGCTACACCGAAGATAACCACGTAAATATGGATATACCAAATGTAAGCACAAGCCTGTTCGATTAACAAGCAACTCGCCTTCTCCAACGATTGCAACAAATAGAACACAGAAGGCAGGCGTAAGACGCCAAATCCTGAATCCTGTATACCCACGCACCCTGCAATTTCATAGTACAGAAATAAATGCTGAGACTTAAGTTACTATACAAACCTTACAACACGCATGCACGACAAAGATGCGGCCATCAAGACGAGCCACAAGAAATGTGTAAGTGGTCAACATGGCTGCGTACCTCAGGGGAGTATTGCCCAGCCAACAATGGGGCTTGTTCTTGTGACCCAGTGGCGGCATCTCCACGTACAAATGCCTATGCACATGCATCAATCAAGCACAAGGTCATAAGAACCAGACAGGGAGGACAAGATTGTTGGAGCATGAGGAGGTGCTGAAAGCGAGCATGCAGACAATTAGTTCTCTGATTTAGGTAAACTATTTGAAATTGGATACTGCTATCCTTGATATTGATCAGATATTGACAACAACGTACCTGAAATTCAGCCACATTGCATTCCTCATTGCAATGAGACACATGCAAAAGCACGAGGCACATAAAAATGCAACTTACCTGGAACTCAGCCACGTAGACTTCCTGCTTCCTGGTTTGTAGTGATCCAGGCCTGAACAGATAAGCAGCGAACAGGAGGTACGCAACAGGTGGCAAGAAGCAGCTAATCAGAAGGCGCAATGATAACAACGAATTACGAGGAGAGCATTGCGTAGCATACGAGAGATTATCCAACATCCTGCTCATGTCACACCTCACCTCATTGCTCTCACAACAGCCACAGCCTGCATCAGGAAAAGAGAACGGGTAGTATACAGGGGAAATGGTACATGTTAAGCGCAAAGCTTGCGAGCTTTAAAAAAAAAAGCAACAACAACAACAATGCGGGGCCTTGGAGCCAAGCAAAGGAATAACAACTGAACTGAATGGGACGACGATTGGGGAGGGAGACACTGAAGGAGTTGCTTACATCAGCAGCTGCTAGGGAGTTTGCTGCAACCAAGTAACATGCAATGACAAGGCCTGTCCTTCCTGCGCATTCAAATAATTTCATGTCACCCACATGGTGTTCAAAACTGTGCGTTGTGCAACAGGCACACACGCTAGGCAGACACTTTTTTTTGTGAGCAAGTTGGAAAGAGTTCGTCACGGCTGCTTTGAACAGCGAAAGTTGTGTTGCATACCTAGGCCAGCATGGCAGTGAACAACCACCTGCACCAAACGAACAAGCAAATATCATTAGGTGTCTTTATCAACCATTGTTAAGAGCCCAGAAATGAAGCATGAATGGTCTATACAGATACTGGCAGTGAAAGTACACCTGCTATAGAATAAATACCTTTGAGTAACTATGAACACGGAAAAAGAAAGGCTGCACAGATTGCACACCTTGTGGCGGCGGCCAATGGCGAGGGAGATGCTCTGCACGATGGAGAGCATGGTTGGGAAGGGCGGACATGCCATGTCCTTCCATGGTGCATGCAGGTAACCGACTGGCCACGCAGGGACGGAAGGATGATATGGGGATGTCAGTGCAGGAGTGGTTGCGGGGTGAGAGTGGGGAAGAAAGTGAGTGGCATGGTTGGGAAGGGGGGGCATGACACGTCCTTCCAAGGTGCATGCAGGTAATCCACTGGCCACACAACACAAGCACGGACGGATGGACGGATGGGATATGAATGGCATGGATGTTTCTGTCAGTGCAGGAGTGCTTGAGAGAGAAAGCGAGGGAGAGGGAGACAATGTCAAGAACAGAGACCAGTTGAATAGGGGGAGTAACTGAGTTCTAGAAAGCAAGATCTCGGCAAAAGCATAAGATAGTGTTTGTCAGGAGCGGACCTCCAGCCTTGATGAACTTGTCAGGAGTGTAGGAGAATCCCGATGCTGTGATCCCTGACCCACACCACGGATGCTCCCCTGCTTCCTGTGTGCGTGCACGGAGAAAAAAAGCATTGATTTCCGTTTCTGGTGTGCTCAAAACGAGAGATGACGATTGAGCCTGGTCCTTTTTTCCAGCAGGAATGTTCTATGCACCCATATGTACCTACATATGCATTCATGCATACCACCATATGCACCCATCTGTACCACTACCTCCATATGAACCCATCCATACCTCCAGGTTCACGATCAGCCTGATGCCTCGTTCCGCGAATCTATCCGCCAACCCCTCCTCAATCATCGCGTCCGTCGGTCTCGCGCACGCCAGCAGCTCGTTCGTCACCCAATCGGAGTGCAAACCGCGAAACGCCTCTTGACCGTTCTGCAACCGGAAGTCCTCGTGTCGGCACCCGGAGGGGGACCCCAGGCCTTCTAAAAAGCAGACTATCCTATCCGTGATGCCGTTTTCTTTCCAGGAAGGAGCCGATGAGTTCGCGGATGAATTCTCAGATGTCTCAAACGTGGAATCAGTGACGCCATTTTGATGTCTCGTAGACTCATAAGAAGACGAGGAGGACGTGCTGGCAATCATGGTATTGGAACGAGGGAACTGAAGGAAGTGCCATCCCAAAATGCGTGGGGTCGGGGTGGCAGCTTTTTTAGGGTTTGCGAGAGAGTAACTCTCCAGAACTTACCCGCAGGTAGCATTTCGGGGTTAGCGGCTCGGAAATCAGTGGGCTGCATCCACTACGAAGTTTCGACCAGATCCTCGCGAGCGATTTTATTGGTCGAACGCTTTCCACCAGATCCACGAAACTTCCTTTGAGACCCTTCGAATGATTTCTATTGGACATTCGATTCGAACCTACTGCTCGGTAAGTTTAGGTTTTCGAAATACTCCTTCCAAGAAGCAGCGGCTTTGAAAAGGTTTGGCACAAATGCAGATACGTGACCCGCACAAGAGCATCTCCGTTCCAGTGTACAGTGATGATTGCTATTGAAATTTCTTGTTCTTATGTGCATGAGTTTTGTACACAGCTTATATTGACACCAACATATTCTATTGGGTTGATTTGCATGCGTAACTAAAGCATTTAAACACTCTGATCTTGTCTGTTGTGATTTTTCAGACGTTAAATTCACTACATAATTATTTCTGCTACTTATATTTAGATGCATTGTTAGGGAATGGTGAAAACAAGGTGGAAACAACCGGGGTAAGGGGGGCAGGGCTATAGACAGTGAGTCGTAATAAATGCGACTACTTTTCCAAATACAACCTGCACTATAGTACCTGGTATAGAGTATCAGAAGCTACCGCACCATCCAGTGAAGCATTTTCATCACCACGCATACGGGTTCAATACTAGTTTCAGCGTGGTCCTCTTAAAGAGAGGAAATACTTGCTCAGCCCTCAAGATGGCATCAAAGTGCACGATGCGATAGGCATCAGCCCTACGACGGCAGGCCAATTTTACGAAGGCTGTATCTTCGTCCTCTCCTCTAACGTCCAGGAGCTTCACGTACGCGAGTGGCTGTTTCTCTATCTCCCGTCCAGCTCTGGTTTGGACATGGAAAAGCATGAGGAGCTGGGCATACACAACATCCGACCCCCCTTGAGTACGGTTACTGACCATACTCCCGTCCAGAGCTACATAGGAAAACCATGGATTCCCATGGAAAGCCACGGTTGCCCTTGCATAGTGAGCATCGTTCAAATCATTCCTTGGGAGTGCAACTGCAGAATGCGCCTGCATAGGACGAGAAAGTTTGGGATGGCGAATGCAAAAGTCTCATTCTTCGGGAAATACAAACTTCAACGTCGGCAATATAAAAGTGACAGAGTTTAGAATAACACTGCGCATAATGGTGGTCATGGTAGGTGAGGTGTTTTTCTTACATGGACGATGTCATTTCGAATGCCACGTTCAGCGAGGGCTATTGTGATATCGTTCATGGCGCTGCCGTGTTGCTCCAACAGCCCTTGCCAGAGTTTCTCTGCTTTTCGACCATCAACAACATGTGGAAGTGTCATGGCTGTGCTTGTCGCCGTGAGAACAGGGTTTTTGTTCCTTTCAGCCTGGACGTTGAAATAAAAAGGGATAGGGGAAGTTGCACATGTATGGCATGATGTGTGTTTGTGAAAGTGGCAAGGCATTCCTTGCTGGCCTTACAACCAGCCATGCATGCAATGATGCATGTGTGTGAAATGAATGGCATGGCATTCCTTGCTGGCCTTACAACCAGCCATGCATGCAATGATGCATGGCTGTGAAACGAATGGCATGGCATTCCTTGCTGGCCTTACAACCAGCCATGCATGCAATGATGCATGGCTGTGAAACGAATGGCATGGCATTCCTTGCTGGCTTTACAACCAGCCATGCATGCAATGATGCATGGCTGTGAAATGAATGGCACGGCATTCCTTGCTGGCCTTACAACCAGCCATTCATGCCATGATGCATGTGTGTGAAATGAATGGCATGGCATTCCTTGCTGGCCTTAAAACCAGCAATGCATGCACTGATGCATGTGTGTGAGATGAATGGCAAGGCATTGCTGGCCTTGCAAGCAGCCATGCATGCAATGATGCATGTGGGTGTAAATGGCAAAGAATGTCTTGCTGGCCTTACCTCCAGCCATGCATGGCATGATGCATGAGAGACGACACGAGCAAGGCATGTCATGCTGGCCTTACCACCAACAACGCATGGGATGATGCATGAGACACGACACGGGCACAGCATTCCATGCTGGCCTAAACACCATCCATGCATGGCAATGATGTGTGAGTGTGAAATGCACTCTAGCTACAAAGATCGCATGCATACATGGGCACCAAAAAGGAAAATGGAGAAGGGGACAGAGGAATGGCGGACACACTGCATGTAGAGGGTTGCGTTTGGTATCACACCTTCGTTATGGCAGTATCACGTCCTGGCAGGTTGTTGAAAACTGACGGCAAATCCAGCAGTGCGCATCTCATTTCAGACGACCGCATGATGGCATCGTCGTAGTTACGGTAGTTCGATGCGCGGAAAGGTCGTTTGCAGGATGTTGTGTGGGCGTTCTCGAAGAGCTCGGTGCAGTACTCTCCGGGTGCACCAGCACGTCGGACTGCATCAGGGAAGTGGACAAGCTTGTGCACCTTGACAAGAAGCCAGCCATGCCCGGCCCTTGGGAGGTTGGTCCTCAGCAAGCGCACCAACCTGATTTACACACAGAAGTGGGGTGGGAAACAAAGGGGATAGGATGTGGGGTACATGTCAGAATATTATCTTATTGTTCTAGCCTGTAGTGGGGTGCTCTATAGCGAGTACAACCCTTCTAGGGTTTGCTATTTGTATCCTCATTCTTGCTAGTTCAATCCTCTTTCTTTCTTCAAACTTTGACATGCTATCAGAGCAGGTCGATCCCCTTGGATCGATCCTGTGGGTGTGTCCCCACCTTGCTTCCGCTGCTACTTTTTCATCCCGCCGTGCGCCCCGAGGCGCACGGCGGTTTTCTGCCCGCCGTGCGCCCCGAGGCGCGCGGCGGTTCATTGCCCGCTGTGCGCCCCGGGGCGCGCGGCGGGCTTCTCCTCTACGTCGCGGCCCCGCCCCGGCCCGTCGCCGCCCGTGCGCCCGCTCGACGCGGCCCGCCCTTCGTCGCGGACCCGCCCCGGCCCGTCGCCGCCCGTGCGCGTGCCCGGCTCGGCCCCGCCCTTCGTCGCGGACCCGCCCCGGCCCGTCGCCGCCCGTGCGCGTGCCCGGCTCGGCCCCGCCCTTCGTCGCGGACCCGCCCCGGCCCGTCGCCGCCCGTGCGCCTGCCCGTCGCGGCCCCGCCCTACGTCGCGGCCCCGCCCTATGTCGCGGCCCCGCCCCTCGAAGCGGCCCCGCCTTACGTCGCGGCCCCGCCCCGCTCGTCGCGGCCCCGCCCCTTGTCGCGGCCCCGCCCTCCAACCAGGCTCGTGGTGGGCCCCTTTCACCACACCGCCTCCCCCCCCCCCCCCCCCCCCCCCCCTGCCATTTCCCGTCGCCCGTCGCGGCTCCTTCGGGGGCCGCAAGCGGCCCCCTCAGGTCGCCACGACGGACGACCTGAGGGGCGAGCTGTGGGGTGGCGGGTATGGGGGTGGTCGGTGTGCCTTCCTCCCTTTCTCCTCCTCCTCCTTCGTCTCCCACTGCTGCAGCTGTCGCTGAGGGGGGTGGTTGTGTGGGAGACTGGGTTTAGGGTTTAAGGGGGGTGCGTGGGAGTAGAGCTAGTAGTGTAGCAGTGGGTGTGTATCAGGGGGGTGGGACTGTGTGTGGGAGGATGAGCGGAGGTTGCCAGTTTGTCGTCAGCAGCACCTGTAGTCCGGGGCGCTGTCCCGGTAGCCCAGTCGTAGCCAGCTGTGCCAGCCGCCCGTGGGTCCGTTGCCCGTCCGCCGCTATTTGAGCCGCGGGGCCTGTTACCCCTGTAGTCCGGGCGCTGTCCGGTAGCTGCTGTGCCAGTCTGCCTCCTGTTGCCCGTGTGTCTGCAGCTTCAGCCGTCGCCTCCTGTCTCCTCTCCCCTCACTCTCCCTCCTCCTCCTCACTTGCCCGTTGTGACTACCACTAGCTTTGCTTATAATTGTAAACTCTAAACTATTTCTTCTTGAACTTGTGCTCAGAATGTGTGGTGACATTGTGATCCACCCTGAGCTTGTTTTGCTTTGCCTGCTCTGCTGATTACACCCCACTTTGGCTATGGGGGTGTGTCAGAATATTATCTTATTGTTCTAGCCTGTAGTGGGGTGCTCTATAGCGAGTACAACCCTTCTAGGGTTTGCTATTTGTATCCTCATTCTTGCTAGTTCAATCCTCTTTCTTTCTTCAAACTTTGACAGTACAGAAGGAAGTGGGTTGGGAAACAATGGGGATAGGATAAGGGGTACAGAAAGAAGTGGGTTGGGAAACAATGGGGAGTGAGGTGAAGAACAGGGGGAAGGGAGTAGGGTAACAGGGGGGAAGTGAGGTGGGCAACATTGGGAAGTGAGGTGGGCAACAAGGGGAAATTTTGAGGGGAACAGGGGGAAGTGAGGTGAGTAACAAAGGGAAGGGAGGGCTTACTCTTTGGTGTCTACGGTGTACTGGCGCAAGAGACTCTCCAGATAGACCGGTGCACGGAAGTATGTGTGAAACCACTTTACGAAAAATCGCAGGACAGCCATCTTGATTGGTGCTTTCAGTAGCCCATCGGACATAATAAGCAAGACCACCTGTTCCATAAACAATACGGGTAGGTTACGTCATTGTGACATCAAATTGCAACTCAATGAAAGGCTCTCAGGACTCAACCATAGAGAACACCAACATTCGCACTCACACACCCAAATCACGGCCGCATGCTCCGCCGCAGAATAGTTGGCTCCTGGATTGAAATAGTGACCGTCAGCGGGTAACTTGTATGAGGAAAACCTCTCCTCCTTCGCTAGGACACCGAGTCACCTATGATATTTGAAAAACAGGATGGGGGAGGGGGGTTTGGGTGTAGAGGTCCAGGGTGGAGGGATAGAGGGAGGGAGGGGGGAAGGGGACAGGCGGAAGAGGGATAGGGAGGGTGGAAAAGGCATACAGATTGTGGTTGATTAAGTCATCAATATCACATTGCACATAGCAGCAAGACAAACACACCTGTTCATTTCGTTTATGTCTTCACCATGTACCACCTCTTCCAAAATGTAGCGCCACACGCCAGCGAGTACAACATGTAACACATCCAGCATGATAGTCAAGTAGGGGTTGCCCCAAGGGTCGTGGATCTCATGCGCGCGGTTCACATTCCAGAGGAAGCTTTGCAAAACGTGGATGAAAAAAAAAAAAAAAAAACAATAATGAGTCCAGTACTGAAACGC